AGTGTATATGTATGTACAATTATTAAGCAATGTAATGCATTACACTACACTATCGATGTCCATCCCAGAACAACACAGCAGAAATACCGCATTGGTGGTCCCAACAGGGTGCGTACAAATACCTGCCCTGGATGCTGCTAAAAACTAGTCATTTCTGAGTTGGGACCCCGGACACCGCATGGAATAATATATTTATAACATTTGTAATATGGAAGTGATCAGCTGTCCTTATCCAGGGTGGTGGACAAATTTGCACTGCGGTGGACAATATCAGTGCTGCTGGACACATTCAAACAAGTCCACCTCGCGTGTCCCCAGACCGCAGATTGCTCCAGAGCCCACGTGTCCACTGCTGGGGGGCCTAGTTGGGGCCAACTTTTTGTTATCGAGTTGACCCTAAGTAGGGGGTGGAACAAGTAGCCCGAGGTGAGTGATCACCGGTGATGAAGCAGTGATCACCGGTGACAAAGCAGTGCTGACCTATTTCAGCACCAAAGTCCAATGCTGGGCACTGGTCAATCACTAGTGATTGGCATGCTGGTGCTGGGCATTGATCAATCACTAGTGATGGGCATGGATTTGTTCAGATAAGTAATCTACATCACTACCTCATCATTACCCTGTCACTGGTTGATCACTGGACCGTCACTGGAGCGTCACAATCAGTAGCACTCCCATCACTACATTGTCACTGGTGCTCAGCACCGCTACATATTTTATGTGGTATTCCTAGCCAGTGCTCGTAGCATTAGTCCAAGTATCACATTTTCCACAAGTCTTCTCTTTCTCTGATACACAGCACTGTATCGTAAAACTCTCCTAACATGGATGAAACCCTTATACAGAACTTCCGTACAGCATATTGTGTCCTCCAAGATAGAGTAAACCAAGCTCTGATGACCCAGATAGGCGATCCCATACGCCTTTCCGAGCAACGCGATCAAGCCCTTCAACTACTTTCTGCCGCAGAACAGGTACCTGCCTATCGTATTAGGTATCCCCTTCCGATGAGTAACCTCTTAATAGCAAAGACAAATATTCCTGCAAGAAGATTATCAGCAGCTAGTCAATAACATCTCTGCAATGATATCCGCTTTGGATGATGCGCAGTTTATCTCAAGAGATCCTCCTATGGCACCACCACCTTCCCTATCGTATCGTCCACTTACTGGCCGCATAGGTCGGCCACGAGTTGAGATTGATGCTTCTCTTCTGGCTGCTGCCTATCGTTTCCGTGGACCCACTGCCCTTGCCAGAATCTTTAACTGTGATCCACGTACTATCTGGCGGCGCGCTCTTGAACTGGGTATAGCTATGCCGGCTCAGCCTGTTTATCAGGATATTATCAGCCAGGATGGAGATGCTCAGCGTTTGTGGACATCATCCACCCCTGCCATGTCTGTGATCTCGGACGAGCAACTTGACCAGGAGATAAAGCACGTTCTCACAGTGTTTCCTCAATTTGGTCGTCGGATGATACATGGCTTCCTCTCAAAGAAAGGATTACGCATTCCTATGCCACGTATTTCAGCTTCCTATCTTCGAGTTCACGGTACCCCAGCTATCTTTGGAGACCGACAGATTCATCGACGCTTGTATCATGTGGCTGGGGCCAACTCTCTATGGCATCACGACAGTCAGCACGGTATGAACAGACACCGCATATGATAATATTGCTTTCTCAATGATACATGCTTATATCAGGCCTCATACGTTACAAGATGGTTATCCATGCCTTCATTGATGGGAAGAGTCGTGTCATCACCGGCATCCAAGTCAGCAACAATAACCGTGCCGATACAGTTCTCCAGGTGTTTCTGGCTGCGACTAGAGGTTGGGGTATTCCAAGCCGTGTACGTGGAGACCACGGTTCGAAAACTTAGAGGTTGCACGGTGGATGGATGCACATCGCGGTCAAGGAAGGGGCTCGTATATCTGGGGACGGTACGGCCAGATATTTATACTTACTATCTGGTTCTCACATACATTTATTTAGGAGTGTTCACAATACACGTATAGAAAGGCTGTGGTATGATGTCACACACGGGTTTGGGATGAAGTGGAAGGACTTCTTCCTCGAACTGGAGACCCACCACGGTCTTGAACCAACCAACCCTGACCACATATGGCTGCTCCATCATCTGTTCCTTGCGTCCATCAATCAGGATGCACTAGAGTGGGCAGAGATATGGAACTCACATAAGATGTCCACACCAGGCACTGGAGCCCAGTCTCCTAACGAAATGTTTTTCTTCAGCATGCTCCAAGACGGACCACGAGGCTTAGTGCCCCCCGAACAAGATGTTCATGATGACGAGGATATCGAAGATGTCACATCATATGGAATCGACTGGGATGTCTACAACGATCCATCAATGGTAGCCCATCTTGCAGACAGCGATGAAGAGGATGATACTTCCCATAATCCATTTGGGACTCCAAACAAGCTCTCAGAAGTAATATGTGATGCTCCACCCTGCCCTTTACAGCCTCATGAGGTAATGTCCTATTCTATTCGGTGTTATATAATGCTCACATTCACCTTAGGTGGAGGCCTTGAACAACAGATTGAGGGCATCTATCAACATTTCTGAGCGAGACATGAAGGTTCGACGCCTAGTCTGGACACAAGCGCTAGCTATTTGCCATGATCTTGTGTCAACGGTGCGCTTATACACCTTATACGAGCTACAATCAAGCTAAGGTTCATTCTAGGCAACGGCAATGAGCCCAAACTAGACGCTCATACATCGCGATTCACATCTGTACATACTGTCTCTCCGTGCCAATATGATTCTCCGCCTGTATCGGTCACTACCGGAGAACAACTTGTCGAGGATTCAATAACAGGCACATCAAAGATAAGCTATGCCCACCTGCGTCGTTGCTCTTGTACAGGCAGAGAGGGGTCTTCGGGTGTCCCGGTAGGAGGGTTTGTTGAAGAGCATACTAAATCATGTTTATGAATATATCTGACAACAGCGAAAGCTTCTTGCATATCTCACCTTTATTTTTGGCCCACAACACCTCCACTACTGCATTCTTTGCCACGTCGTGATCAGAAACATCCATGTCGTCAGCCGGGAGGATGTGGTAGGTCGCAAGACTGTGCGAACTTATGTGGTGTCAACTTGACAGCTTAGGCATCGCTCTCCCCCGTCTTACTGTGATAGCCCCTTTATGTCCAGTGAACTATCCAACCATGCACTGCGACGCAGCACTCGACATCACCGACCACCTGAGAGACGCGATTATGAAACCCTACAATCATCTTACTCTCACGTTTCCGTGAGTGATCGATCTTTGCTCGAAGAAGGAAGCGTGCAGGATGAAGTCGGAGAAGAAGGCACTCTGGTCGAAGGTCAGTGGATATCTGTCACTACTGCATAGCTCTGCGCACCCACATGAGCAATTCCAGAACGTCTTGTGGCCCCACAAGTCGAGCCTTATCCATTTATGGCCACAGGCGATGAAGGCGCTTCTCTTCCATTCCCACCCTACGATCCTATAGCAGCCAGCACAGAGATTTCAGCTTTGGCAGCAGAGCTTCGAATGGTCCATGTACCTATGTTAAACCGTTCGTGTGTTCAGTATTTTGGTTTACAATCAATACTGACGTCTGCCGTAAATTCAACAGCCATTCTTTCGCCCCCTAAAGTGCAAGATAACGATGGACTCACCCTCCAATCTATCATCTTCTTGACAACAGTGTCTTCACAAACAGCCAAGTCCTTCTGGATTCAAATGGACGATGCACCCTCATTCTCTCTCACTGCTTCTGAGCTTGTATCATGGGCAACATCACAGTGCGATGAGGCAGAGCGTTTCATCAGCAAGTGGCCCACCAACCTTATGTTCTATGGAACATCGCTTCTCCCCTACGATAGTCATCAATACCCGGGCACTACATGGAAAGATGACAATACTTCCTTTGTACCACTCACTGCGGAGAGCATAGTGGCTCCATGTCTTGTCACTGGACCCGAGTTCTTCACATACGCTGTACGGTTCAAGGATTTCCCCTATCCTCCAGGTGCGCTCGTCTATATTCTGTACATCTGGTTAGAGGTCAGTATTGCATTTGGTCGTAATCAAGAGTTCTGACCTTATTGGATATAGGAGGCTTACCGTATTCGATCAGCCCCCACCAACACCAACCCTCTAGCCAGTCTCAGTGGTGCTTCTTCCAATCCCAGACGCTCAAGGGATCTTCCTTTGCTCGAGTCTCCTAGAACAGGATTCTTATCCTTGACCTTTCCTACCAGCGTCACCGCCACCACCTCCGCCACCCCCACTGCAGGTGTAGAAGCGGACAAGGTGCTCTTGTTCCAGCACTTGGAGGAGAGGTATGGTGTGCAGCGTAGTCTTGCGTTTCTAGGTCCACGTCAAAGGGGACAAGCATATGCCCACGTTCTTCAGGTCCGCTTGGTCGGTGATATATGCACGGACTTGGGCATGGCATGGAGCGCAATATTTCCAAAGACGCATATACCTGAGGTTCGGTGGGGGGATCATATGGTGGCGTTGGATGACATCCTGAGGTGGACTGAGCAGAGGCCTTCCACTTTCAAGAATAAACGTACACTTGTGGCCCGCCTCCATCTCGTACATAACGATCTCCAGCGACGTTCACAAGAGTCTCAAGGCGGGTTGCAGGGGGTGGCTTTGCCAGAGGCTGACAGAAACCTTCTTGATGACATTCATTTCATGTTGTACGAACCGTTTCCAGCACTAGGAAGTACCTCGGCCCTCATTGTTCGCGCAGACCGCTATAAGGTTGGACCTCTTCGTCAACTTACTAAAAGCTACCTGAATCCTGTAACGCAGAGATAAATAGAGTAGAACCAAGCTCTGTAGGTCATATTGAAGTTTGATCCATGTGTAGATGAAAGTATGCAGGCTCTATGCAGGCTTGTTGACAGTAGTCGTACAAGTCGACACTTCCATCCAACGGTTGTATGGTCACGTGACACTTATTATCACAGCGCAAACTTACTTTCTACCCATCGTTTACGCATTCTATGATATAAACTCAATTGAGCACACAGTTTCAGGTTACAGCAAAACAAGCAGACATATTAGATTAAGCATTTACCATATCCTGGGTCGCCATCCATTCATATCCCTGACCCAAAATCTGCCATCTGCATCGTGCGTCAATACGATAGATGCCCTGCACCCCTTAAAGTGGAGATTGAAATGAGTAATCTCCGTGCTTCTGAACCACAAAATGTCGCCTGCTTGGAGGTCGAAGACCAGACCAAGCTCGTGAAGCACAAGCTGGCCTCCCGTCCACTTGCCTAAAGGGATGACGACACAGATTTCGAAGTCCTTCTTGTCTCGGTGTCCAAGAGTTGCAACCGCAATATTCACCACCAGACCAGTGAATGGCCCAGCAGGAGTTACGTCATGGAGAGGCAGCTTCTTGGCAAATGTTGCCTGAACTACGCATTCTTTGGGCAAGTGATGCTCCAACTGGTCAAGCGTATGTCAGACATGTGTATATCCAATAAAACAAGACCTACCACGCGCAGTACCTCCAGTATCAGTGGCTCCAGATCATCCAGGAGCTGCTCAGTCTCGTTGCCATCTTTTTGACCTTCCTGAGACATCTCAGGTAGCCGTTGGGGCCGTTGAGCATGACGCTTCCCCGTTCTGGTCTTCAGCTTCAAAGGATGTATATCCATGGGAGCGTCATCGCCCTGAGTGCTGTCAGTGTTCAGTATAGCATACTCAAGGGAGACACTTACGCGCTGCTTATACCGATTGTAAATCAGGCAGTGCTTGCTTAAATACTTGAATTTTGGCAGAGTGGAGTCGCCACGAATCATCTCTGGAAAATTTGCCTCCAACAGCATAGAGGTCCTCTCAAGAAGCTCTGGATCTTGTCGCACATGCCCTATAAGCACTGCGCAGAGTACGCCATGCTTGTCGTAAATTTCAAGCGTCCTGGCAAAATATTCAATACACTCAAGCCTAGAGTTAGATAGCTCACTTACTCATTGGGCGGCAGCTTAGGTGTCTCCACGTAATGAACTGGAGGCTTATCTAGCGATTCATACTTCATAGATTTCAGTATGAGATTACGCTAAGGTTGTGGATGACTCACGTAGGCCTTGAACGAGTGAAATTCTGCGAATTTCTTCCTATCGTTGGCCAATGTTCGATGCATCTTTGTCCACTTTTTTACCTGAGGGTCTTTCTTCTTGTCAAGAGGATCGTGCAAACCTAGGCATTCAAAGGGGACTGTGATCTTCAATAGCTTATCAGGGAAGGGAAGATGTTTATGTTGCAAGACGAAGTCGGGCTCTGGCACGTGAGCACCAAAGGCAGAAAGATCAGGCGCACTCCAGGACTGGAAAGGCAACGTAGAAGCTGCGGAATCCATGTCTATGTCCATGGCATGCAGATCCGGAACAGGCGCCTGCACCATTCCAGCCAATGAGTAGTTTCCGATCAATGAGAAGTCGCATGAACCTGATCGGTGCAAGTAGTCGTTCCAGCAATCGGCGTGTTCCGACAGGATCCAATCACTATTGTAAGGCATTTGTCAGCTCAAGAAACTTATGATTTTGGTGCACGTACTTTAGTATCAGGCTTGAGAAATATTTCTTGGTACGCTCAACATTGGTAGATGCCAAGCATACCATATCCTCCAGGTTGTCCGTCTTGCTGAAGACAACATGAAAACAGACCAGCCGATTGATAAGCTTCAGTGCTGGTATGATTAGGCGCCTCACTAGGACACCACCAGCATCCTCTGGGGCATCAATAGGTCAACATAGCTTTAGCAGACATCAGTGGAGTACGCTCACTAGGAGGGTCCACCATATATTCAGCCGCCTCACTGATTACCCTGGTTTTCATGCTCTGCAGACTACGCCTGCTACTCAGAATGGATACCATTATTAACATTGGTAATCCTCCTATAGTATCATTTCAGATTATCGTCATATAAATAGCGACTGAATCACATACCGACACTGACCAGACGTGCCAGTATAGCTCCTTCATTGAGCCAGTAGTAGAAATCACGATGTGGCTGCCCTTCTCCTCCGGGCGTCCACTGACGGAAGAGCTCGGCGTGGTTGAAATCCTCCCTAGCCATGACTCTGTAGATGTCGTCAATACAAGGTGTTTTGAGTGAACATAGCACTTACTCGTTTGCCCTCACCGCCAAGCGCAAGTTCGCTAACATTGAGAAGAACTTTAATGTCCTAGATTTACTGGAGTAGCGATAGCAGTCTTTGGCAAGCTTGATGAGAGACGTGCAAGGTGAAAAGGAAGCCATGTGTAGATTGTGAAACGCCGCAGGATCCTGCAAGTCACGAACCAGCTCGGAAAGAGCTAGTAGATTGGAGGGGTGGTAGAAGTACGCCAGAGCACGGAGGAAAAACACAACATTGCTGTTCTCTTGCAGAGACGGCGGGCATTCAATCCAACGCCCCATGGGCGCCTCCAGCGTTTGAGATGCATTGCCGGCACCCTGTTCTTCCGGCAAGGTGTGCTCTTCCAGAGCGCTGCATAATTCGGCCCAATATTTGCGGGCCGCTATGCCTCCACGTCTACAACCGGCAGGCCCAGGTCCAGATCCGTCGCCTTCATCCCCCAGACCCCTGGCCCGCTCCCGCTCTCTGCGCCGTTCCCTCTTTTTCTTGCCACCCCGCACCTGCCCCTGCTTTCTACCCCGCACGCTCCCCTTAGCATGACGCCCGACCTCAAACTCAAAGTCGCTGCCTGACATGTCGTAGTCGTAGTCGCTAATGGACGCGTCATCGCTGTGCACCATGCCATCCTCCTCCTCCGGGATGCTATCCGTAACCTCATCGGAGAGGGAGAGCGCTGAGCCCTCAGCCTTGGTGAAGTCGTCAGTGTCGTGGTTGGTATACAACACAAGCGGTGGAAGGCCGTTGGCCTCTCGTCTTCGATTGTATTGAGCCAATGAAGGGATTCGAATTTTCATTGAATCTGCGGATTCATGAGATGCTAAGAATCATAGAATATTATATTGATGATATTGACGAACCGACTGCATTTGCCGTTGAGGCTGGCTGCCCATCAGTCCCAGCGAGGCGTTGAATCAGCTGGAGTAGAGTCAACATTTACTCCAGACAAGCTCAATATGGTGCAAACTCACTCTCAAGTCCCTCGCCCGAGCTTCTTCCTCCATGTAATCCAAGAGGACGTCTTCGTGATGCAGGTTCACAAGCATGTCCAGTTGTCGAAGAGTGTTGGCATCCACAAGCATGGCCAGTCGTGATCTAGCAGACCCAGACAGGACTTCAAGGTTTTGGTGATTCATGCGAGAAAGCAGGAAGTTGTCGAGTAAAAAGCACGAATGTCGCAGTTGTTGGCAGTATGCGCAGGGATGCGCGAAATCGACCAAGTCCTCTGATGTGGCAAATGCCAGACGCGACGGGCTCTCCTGGTCCCTCCTGCGTCGACCATTCATTTCCTCGTTTGTGGCATACAGTGAGCATTGTACACACCAGCCTATCAATACTAACACACTCTTGCAGGATGCCCAAGTTTACTTGAAGATACGGCGAATCCAGGCGATCCACAACCTGATATTCCGCTGAACGTAAGTCCAAGGAGGTCGTCGTCGAACAGAACGAGCTAACACACGAGGCAATGGCCGTGTTGTAGCTTGCAATGCCTCACTGAAGGAACGTGTACTCACACAGTATTCGTGATCGATACAGCAGTCGGGCCGTTGACCGACATTCTCTTGCTTCCATTCCCACTGCCGCAGAAGATATCTCATCTCCTGTCCACACCGATGCCGGCCTCGACTACCTGGACCAGCGATGACCCCATGGCTACCGACTAGGGCGACGGATCACAACGGCGGGGGGCGTCAGTCACTACAGGTTAGTGAGTACGTTATTTTGTTCGTCCATTCGTTGTCCTTAAGCCGCACGCTACTCGAAGATCCCAACCTGGCATGGCATAAACAAACACTGGCGCTATCGACCGCGCTACCCGCCCCTATGCCACTCGACGACCCAGGAACCAGCGACTGCCAACGGACGCGCCGACGGATCAGAAGCGTCCCCAGTCAGCGCACTCGAAGCCGAACGCTACGCCGCACGCACCAGCGTTCATGCACGATGCCCCGTGCACGCCAGTCTTACAGCCCCCGAACGTGCGAGCAGGCTCGACCTCCTCCGCAATCCACCGCGCGAAAGACGGGGCGCGGCTCGTTCAAATCGGCCGCACCCACCCCTCCTCGGCCTCCAATACGCGAAGAAGGCGGCGCGGCACTTTCAAAACGGCCGCGCTCGCCCCTCCTCCTCCCTCCCGCCTTCCCCGCCCTCCGAAACGCAAAGAAGGCACGGCTCGCTCGAGACGGCCGTGCCAGCCCCTCCTCCTCCCCCCCGCCGCGCGAAGACGGCCGCGCGGCTTGTTCAAATCGGCCGCGCCCGCCGCTCCTCATCCCTCCCGCCCTCCTCGGCCTCCAGTAAGCGAAGAAGGGGGCGCAGCACGTTCAAGACGGCCGCGCCCGCCTCTCCTCGTCCTTCCCGCCCTTCCGGCCCTACAACACGCGAATAAGGGGGCGCGGCACGTTCGAGACAGCCGCGCCCGCCCTTCCGGCCCTCGAACACGCGAAGACGAGGGTGCGGCACGTTCAAGACGGCCGCGCCCGCCCCTCCTCATCGCTCCCGCCTTTCCGGCCCTCCAACATGTGAAGAAGGGGGCGCGGCTCGTTCAAGACGGCCGCGCCCGCCCTTCCGGCCCTCGAACGCGCAAAGACGGCTGCGAGGCTCGTTCAAAACGGCCTCGCCCGCCTCTCCTCATCGCTCCCGCCCTCCCCGGCCTCCAATGCGCGAAGAAGGCGGCGCGACTCGTTCAAACGGCCGCGCCCGCCTATCCCCGTCCTTCCGGCCCTTCGGGCTTTTCAGTACGCGAAGACGGCTGCGCGGCTCGTTCAAGAGGGCCGCGCCTTGTTGTGTTGCTGCACCAGTGCGTGCACTGCCTCTGAGTACTGATTGTTAGTGATATCAAGTTCAAACTCAGCAACATTGATCCCTAGCCCGGCTCCTCCGTTACGGATTGTGCATGATTCACGGTGGTGGCCTCTCTCACGACTGTTTGATGAGATTGCCGGTGCTCTTGTGTTTGCTGGATCAACCAGCACCGCCCTCGATGTTCCAAACACTACGGCTCTGTGCGGCACTATCACAACCACCGGTGCAAGACCAACACCACGTCAGGCAACGATACGCCGTCGCTTGCGTGGACCTGTATCTGGGTGAAGCGAATACCATGCGGAGGCCCTACGGCGTGGTGACAGACAGCGGTGGCAGCAGCGAGGGCTTGGGAGAGGCGGCGGGGCCAAGGGCGAGAGTGGTATCTTATTCTCGGATTTTATTCTCGTCTCTGGTGCGATAGGGTCAACCATCTACCCTGATTTTGTAACAGCAGGTACATGTACAATGATATGATTAAGCTTGTGAAAAACTAGTTACAGTGCCCAAGGCAGCGCCTGCTCCACTCCAAACCTGACTGTGCATCCATATGTCAAAGTCAGTTATTGTGCTCGGGTCTTGGAAGGCGTCCTGCAGGAGAGCATTGAGGAGCCATGAATTGACGGACACATCAATTTCTAAGGAGCACGCATGCCAGCAGATGAGAGGAGGGCTGTCGTCCCTGCGGATGAACATCTCGCCAGCCTGAAATGAATAATCAGTGAGTATGTTCGATAAACTTGAAGAAGTTTGATAGTGTACCTGCTCCTGTGAGCGTATGAGCCCAGAGCTCATGTTGATCTGGAACAACGTTAATCATCTGGGTAAATGTTGGTAAATGTAGAACTAGGACTCACCTTGATCTTCCAGTTGGGGTCGGTAGGAATATTGGGCGTGCCCAACATGCTCGTGAGGAAGAGACGGCTGCGAAGGAGCCCATCATGCTTATGCTTGAAGTATTCATCCTTTGATATCAGATGACAATCGCAAAAAGAGGATGGGTGACCAGTTCCCAGAAGCCATCGTTGAAAATGACGCTGAAATGCACGAACCACCCTATGGGTTACTTGGTCCCTTTCACCCGATCTTTGTTCCCATTGGATATGATCAAGGACATCTTGAACAGAATGTAGTTCACTGTCCCACAAGGTGGCCGTGATAGCAAGAGGGTTGCAGATGATACGATCGATGCTGGTGGACGGATAATCAATCAACAGCTAGTGCATACAAATCAATGAGCGAGAGATTGTGGACATCTTAAAAATGAAGCTTACATCCAACAAACCCTGTTTGGGATCAACATCGGTTGAGAAAGGAAAGTTGAATCCAGCTTTGAAAGATACAAAGCTAGGGTGGTTCCACAGGTCGACGCATTGGAACAAGACATGGGTAAGTATAGAGCGTCCCAAGTTCCTCCAGATCGCTCTAGTTGCATCTTCATCCTCTACGTCATCGGAAAACTGGGAGCCCTGAACAAATATAAGCCAGGAACAGATTAGGCGGAACTGATACCCACCTGCATGTCAAATTCCAACAGAAGCTGCCCCACGTAGGATCGAGGATTGGCCAGGGCAAGCCTAAATGACGAGAGATCCTCGCCCAAGTCAAACCACTCCTTCAGACGCGGCCAATCCCCAGGATGAAAATATTCAAGATAATGAGGGTGGATATCGATAAAGTCGAACCCCCCAACTCCATGGAGACATGCCAACACGAGCAAGGGGCTGATATAGGGAGGGCGATGGCGTAGCTGAATGATGTGAACAGCGAGGAAGGTGCCAAAAGTGTTCCATCGTCTTTCACGTTTAGGGGCTGGGATGGTCGATACAGCACCAAAAAGAGGCATGCGCCACTGCTCCCTGATGCCGAAAAGGCCATGATCTGGACTGGTAAAGTCCTCTACTCCGGCGAGGAAGACCTCTAGCTGTGGACCCCTCCCGAAGCCTTCACCTCTGCGCTACATTAGAAATTGGTTGACGTTGTGGAGGCAATTTACTTACACATGATAGTCGGCACTGAATTGAGAGAAAAAATCTGAGCGATTGCTAAGTGTATACTTTGTGAGCTTGGGAGTGGTGGCTGGAGGAACTGCAGTTGCATCTGTAGGTGCAAAACCCTCTGGCTGGCCTTCGATATCCCACACCATAATCTCCATCATCGCGCGGGCGACCACAAGTGCGTTGACTCCATGTAAGGCCATGGTATCTGGCCGAGATGCAAAAGGCGCATGAACGTCTACGAATATGAAGAAATCTTTCAGCTGACTACGTGTCACTTTGTCGATATTTGGGCGAATAAGTGGAGGATCTGTGTACACGATTAGTTATAGAAGAGTAAAAGGTTGCTGAGACGAACTATTTGGTGCTAGAGAAGATGTTGGTATTGACGGTGGCAAACCCACTTCCGAAGCTACATGGGACAAGAACAGATTTTCTGGCACGGGGTCTTCAATGTGCCGGCGTTGAGCAGGCTGTTGTACTATCTGAAGGTCCTATAATATAATATCAGCACAGGTATCGGGCATAAGAATATTTCCTCACCAGGGAAAGAGGTCGCGTATGGGTAGGTCTGTCTAGACAATGTTCCGATGTGTGATCGGTCATTGGTGGGGGATGAGGAGGTGAACCAGAAGGACAATTTTCCACACAAGTGACTGTCTTGGGATCCCAGCCAAGCTCCAGCCATGAATCAGGTGTTTCCAGTTTCTGATAGAAGCGTAATGCGAAGCAAGGATGGGGTAGATCTGGATCGTTTATCCCAAATGGAAGCTGGAATGATGTGATGGGACCTTGTAGATCACCGTAGAGAGGAGCTGCAGGTATATCAAAATAGGTTAGGGGCTATATATTGAGCGACAACAACAGCGACAGACAAATAAGTACAAAGGGACTGTCACGATGGAAAGGATTCGCCGCCTTCTTGGCGTATATAGCCTGGATATTTGAATATGTGAATCCGGAGTGTATCATGCTGGCATAACGGTGAACATGGATCGGTGCAGCATCGTTGCTTTTACGAGGTGAAGTAGACTTGAGGATGTCAAAGGGAAGCTTATGGGAAGGTAACTGGTCCAGGGGCCCTTGGAGATGCTCAGGCCATGGAAACTTGAATGAGTATTCCTCGCAGTGACGTTGGATTGCTTCCCAGCACTGGAGAGATATATCGTCCTGACTTTTTGATACGGTGGCGGTAAGGGTCAAGTGCAAATCTTCCAGGCCACGCAGGAGGCCATAGAGCTCTGGTAGGGTGATGGAGAGCATGGGATGAACATAGGTGTCCATTTTATGAAGCTGTCAAGTGCTGTCAGACCTTAGACTTCATGCAAGACGACTGATCTGACCTTAGCTGGCCATATACATATCGTAATGGTACCCAAATCTGGCTCACCATGTGGGCTGAAACTAGACGCGCCAGCTCGAAGTGGTTTCTTGGCCCTGGCCTTCTTGGCAGAGGTGACACGTGCAGCATTTGCGGACTGGATCAGACTGGAATGTGGTGGCATCCAGGAGGTGATACCCAGAGGTTGGGGTGTTGATGATGAGGAGCCAGAAGCATTCAGAGGGTTCATATATGCAGGTGTGGGAATGCCAACAGACGGGGGAAGTGGGGACGCTGGAAGAGGAAGACGACAATGAGTGCAAACATGAGCGTTTATGCGGAGAAGAATAACAAGGGAGAAGCTTTACATGAGATTGGACCAGTGTTGTTCGAAGCTGTGATAGAGTTTGCTAGATTGAAGGGGGCTGCAGGAGGTGCGTTCCAGCCCGTTGGCAGTGTCTGTGACCTAAAGTCTGTGTTAGTTCTATGCGATCTGATGCAGATTGACTCAGTGCCTTACAAGGAGCTGTTGGATTGTTGCATAAGCTGCAGTAGAAAGGCAAGCATTTGGCCTTGCTGGCCTGACTCTGAGGGAAGCCCACTCATTGTGTAAGACGTGTGTACGGAGAGCGTGCTGGAGGAGGAGGTTTGGGGCAGTGTGATCAACACGTGTCCTATCATCAGCCACCCTGCTTCAGCCACCAGTGCTTGGAGCACTATTGTAACACCAGCCCAGCACTGCATAGCTAAGTTGTTTGATCTGGTGCATCACCGGTCCATAATCATTGCAGCATTGGCGTAGCACTACTACATCACTGCTTTAGATTAGATGCCCAGAAAAATTGATGCAATGCCACGTGGGAACAAAACACAGCCACACCAGTGCTGTGTCACTGGTCCTGACTGGTGCTGATCTAGTGATCACCAGTGAGCACCGGTGAGCACCGGTGATCACTAGTGATGGGCTGCTGTCACCGGTGCTCACCGGTGATCACCGGTGATGAGCCCTTTGCATGACATTTGTTGCACTTTTGTCCAGTAAAAACCTTCATATTTCTACTATGTTATACTGCATCTTCGTTCACCGACGAGCCTTTGGAATAACAGCGTACCGGATGTGCCGCGTGCAATCCCCGGATCCATGTCACTGCACCCGATGAAAATGCTGTCGTTCGCCGTCAACGACCTCGGATGTCTCTTGGAACGTCGTTGCGCCACAACATCGTGCATGTCGTTCACTGAATCAACGACGCTCTGGCCTTTTGCTATCGAAAATCGACTTTCACCCCCCGGAGCATGGTCCTTTTCTGAACGTGGAGTCCCGCATGACATGAAGCATGGGCGACGCGGGGCTGCATGTGTAAAGGCATGCAGTCGTTGGCGGTCGCGGCGACAGCAAAGCTATGTTCCTGGGCACGGCCTTGTTTCAACTTCCTCTGACCGAATAGTGCGAAGCCTTTATGCGCTGAATATAAATCTGTTGCGCTGCCGTCGTATGTCTCATCCCCTTTTCACCCGACTGTGGGTTAACATGTCGCTCTACCTTCTGCTTTTTGGCCTGTTGTTGTCTTCGTGTGTACATGGCGCGCGCATGCCGCGACGAAGCGTGCGGTACAACCCCCACTCTTTCCGTCAATCTTCATTGTATCGCCGCGAGCTGGGAGTATTCGTGTATAACTTGGGCGATCGCTTCTACCTCAGCAACATAACACTCGGTGGAAACAATTACACCGTTATTCTTGATACGGGGAGGTAAGGGATGATCGCATTTTTGGCAGGATGGCATGGATTATAGCGGAATCAACAGCTCGGATCTCTGGGTCACTGGCCAGGAGCCCGGCGGACGTATCGACACGGGCGTGAGCCTCAATCTCACTTACGCCGCCGGATCAGCACCGGGTGAGCTTGGTATCACGATGCGCCAGTGACGTCTAAATACACGTTGCGTCGCAGGAAATATCAGTGTTGCCCGGCTAGAATTCGATGAATACGTGGTTGAGGACCAGGAGTTTGGTATTCAGCGTCGCATCACCTCGATGAATCTGCACAACTGACGCACTTGTCATAGTCTATGTGCCAGATGCATCTGCCATGAAATTTCCTCCCGGTATACAAGGAGTCATTGGGTTGGGACCCGATATCTCTTCGGATATCGTGGAACTCGACATAGAGGAGGGCGGCAGCAATCCCCTTAGAACTCACTCGGTACTCTCTCGCATATTTTCTCAGAACAAGACCAGCCAGAACTTCATGTCGTTGCTGCTCACCCGGACAAACGATACTGAAGAGGATTTTGAAGGCGAAATTACCATATCCACGCTCATTACCGGTTTCGAGAACGTTACCTCGATGCCAAGGCTACCCGTCGTCAATGCCAGCGTTCTCGACGCTCGTTTTCAATTCGCTCAACACTTGACGGTGGCCACGGACCCGGACCCTGTCGTCGTCAATGGGCACCGCATTCGCTCGCACTCCATCGTTCCACACATTGATCCAGGACGAATGGTTGCAACCTTCGACTCCGGCTTTACGGTCCCTCAAATTCCTCGAGAATGGGCTGACACCATATACGGCGAAATAGAGGGGTCGTTCTATCTGGAAGTGAACAATTCCTGGGCGCTTCCTTGCAACCAATCGTTGAACGTCACGATCGGCTTCGGCGGCCACGCTTATCCGATACATCCACTAGATCTCAACACGAAACTACTCCCGCCTTTTGATCGTGATGGCGTGGAGTACTGCTTCGGCCTCGTGAGTTCCCATACCACTCTGTTCGTGGTATGATATGATCCTCACCGTTATCATAGTTCCAACCGATCCAACCCAATGCGCTCGACGCCCTTGCTGGAACAGCGGATATGATTCTCGGAATGGGATTCCGTAAGATTGTAACCATCTTTCCAGGGACTGTGGCTGATCGCCCTGGATCCCCGCAGTACGCAATGTATACGCGTTGTTCGACTACGGCGACTTCGTCGATGACTCCTCCAATGACCGCGTAGAGCCGTATGTTCAACTGCTCCCCATCACAAATCTGGAGGAGGCCACGATCGAGTTCAACAACCTACGCGGCGTTAGCGCTGTTCCTAGCGCAGGTTACGATGGTTCCGACGACAACACTACCACCGGCTCCGACGCCATCACTGGCATCGTTGCCGAACCGAAGTCCGACAAGACGACTTTCATTGAAGGCGACCTATCGGACTCTACCAAGAAGAAGGTTAAGAAGATCGCTCGTAGGACTATCTATATTATCGTGGGATGCGTCATCGCGGCGGTTTTGCTTGTCGGCATTTGCATCTGCGGATGCTGCTACGGCATGTGCGGAATTTGCCGCCGGGATTCTAGCGGTCGTCGAAGGTGGGGTCTCAAAGGACAAAGCATGCCCAGTGCCTCGAGCGGCGGCAAATATGCGTCGGTCAACAATCCGAAGCCATGGGAGCAGAGTTATTGAATGCTCACGTCTCCAATGGACATCATAGCGTGAACAGGATTGGAGAGGTACCGGGTTCTGTACATATACATCATGCAACATAACGATAATCATATTTGTCTACGAATCGAGAATGCTTATCGTGCGCACTTGGTATTCATATCAATCATGGCATAACGTCCTCGCCCCAAGGACAGTCCGCTTCGGGTGTATACGGCGTCGGATCGTCACGAATGGTCCCATTCAACATCGCCCCTATGACCGCCTCCATCGCTGCACGCTCCGACGTATTACACCTCGCCGCGGTACTCTCTAGGTCCATTCTATAAAGCAGGGCCTGCCCTTGGTCCATCCACCATCCATTGGGGGGTAGGTAGAGCTTCTCATGAGCATACGCACGGTCGTCCTCGCCAAGTTCGCATCGTTGGAGAAGGTAGAGGAGGCATACGTTGCGTCCACTGTTACCGTACCCACAGTAAACTCAGCCTCAAATACGGACAGCGGGGAGACGTACAGCTCATCACGAATGCTAAAGTGATCCGGCCCGTGCATATTCGGGTGCCTTGCGAACAACCCTCGTGGTTATAGGACCTACTAGGCTCGCCATTTCCGTCGTGATTACAAGGAATACCTGCCCCGTGATATCACAAATACCCCCGTATCTGGATCCCTGGTACCAGAAAACGGAAAATGATGGAGCCACCGCCCACACGTCAGTTCACCAACCTTGCGGCCCATGTATAAAATCCAGAAGATCCTGAAACGGTGCTGTCAGCCAGCTCAGAGCGTATTAAGCCGAATGACTCACCCATATATGCGCATCTCCGGGCACATTGCCGCTCTTCAAGAACTCCTTCACTTCTTCTTCGGTGTAAACCGCCTCGTCTGAAGAGGCCACGTTGCCTCCAGCACCACGCCTCACGGGCCCTGCCCCTGGTGCATGTCCAGCCCGAATCTCGCGATCGCAATAATCCTCGAAGGTCCAGCCCAGCGTGTCGCGTGTCGAGCCGTTCAGGATGCGCCCCACAAGTTGATCCATTGCATCAGCCTCCGCACGCATGGCCAACAGTGCCTTGAGACCTTCATATGTTTCTTCGTCGTCATCTGTGTCCGCGTCCTCCTCTTCGTCATCCGAACGACGACGACTGCTTGTTGCCAGTAAGCATTGGAAATGTTGGACAAGCCTCGGGTCGTCCCACCAGCCATTGCTCGGCAGGTACCGCTTCGAGTGCGCGTAATCGCAAAACTCGTCCGGGAATGGGCATTTGTTCAAAAGGTAGAACAAGCAAACGTTTCTTCCGCTGTTCCATCACATCAGCAACTACTATAGAAGTGGCATGCTGAGTTACTCAGAGAGACTCACAGTTCGTCTCGGATGCTCCTATTATCTGGTGCGTGCTTGTACGGACACCAACGCGGGCCTTTCTTGCAGCCTTTGCAATTGTAGAACTTGCACTGCTTTCCGTTTCCTTCGTGCTTGAAGTCCTCTGAGTCAGAGGTACATCCTATCTCGCGGAAGAAGCGGGGGCCTTCGTCCTCGGAAACGACTTCGTCATCACTGTCGCTGTCTTCCTCATCAAGGAGCCCACGAGCGGTAGCCAGTTCTTGCTTCGCTTCCGCACACTGAGGATCTTGCTCGAGGCAGACTTCGAAATCTGATGCCAGCGATCAATTTCTTCCTTCGTCTTTCGAGACTAGATCAGTTTACCATGGATGGCGGCCCTAATGCGCCCAAGACCTTTTCGTGCAAGCCCTCTACGATACCTCGCCTTTATCAACCTTTTGTTGTACACCAGCGCTCGGGTCGCAATCCGGTCAACTTCCCAATAGCTGTGTTGCGCGTCTCGTTGAGCAAGGAAACATCACAGATACTGTTGTTGGTTGACGTACTCCTCTAGCTTTAGAAACGCCGCAGTCAAATTAGTCAAGTATGGCGAACGGGGACCGTCCACCTCCGCCGCTTTCATATACGCCTCGATAGATCCCAGGAAGTCGCCTTTCCGGAAGAGTTCATTACCCTAACGATGAAGCAACATCAGCAACGGCTTCAGGTAGAACTAAATTGCGGCGCTCTTCCACACAGGAAACATATCGCCGACGATAGGACTCGCGCTAGGCCAATTATCGGATACTCACTTTCTCCTTTAACTTCTCGCCTGCTGCGTTTTTCTCCTGCAGCACCGCACGCCGACTCTCAGCCCGGGCCCTCACTTCCGCTTCTCTTGACCGACTTCGCCGAGGCATCTCGCTCGGCGCTGCACCGGGCCAGGGCAGACGGCCCACCGGTGGCCTACTTCCGCTCCCATCCGCTCGTTCTTGTTCGCTCGCCCTGATGGGTTCTACTTTGCCGCCGAAGATCCGCACGCCGACGACGCGGTCATACGTGTTCTCCTCAAGATTGTCCAGGGAGAGGCCCAGCATGCGGAGGATCAGCTTCGTCGTCGGGTCCTCCCCGTTCACGTCGCCGATGTAGCCGAGGTAGCCTCGCCCGACGTGAACGAAGGCCGCGGGCGTCTGTGCCGTGTCGACAGGGATAGGCTCGTAAACGTGAGATTCGGTGCGGGAAGATGACGAAGGAAAGTAGACCCGCAAGCTCGGGTGAACATTCTTCAGGTTAAGCGCCTTGACTGAGTAGGACTCGTCCAGCCCTTGCGTGTCCATCCCCGGTATGCCGTTCGGGTTGAGGTGTACGGTCGTGCGGTGGTAGTTCCCCGACTGCCACGTTAGTCCCCACTGCGCAAAGAACTCGGCTGTCTTCTCTCCCCAGGGAAGCCCGTTGCTGAAGTTGGCGCCCAGGACGACTGTGCCGCCCTGCTTGGTGAAGGTAACGAGCGCAGCGCGAAGCTTCCGATATCGAGGCTCGACGACAGCTCCATCAATCACGAGCACCGCGTCGGGCCGCTGAGCTGCGGAGGCAGCGAGGAGCTTCTTGGCCTCTGCAGCGTCTTCGACGCGGACGACACTCGCCTTCGATGCGATGGAGGAAGTCATCCAGTCGTAGCCTTCGTCTAGGAAGTGCTCTTGAAGAATACCCAGAATCATGAACTTAGGTCGCGTTCGTTCCTCGGGTGTCTGGTTGGGTAGTCAGCGAGAACGCGAGACGCGAGTTGATGGACATACAACTGCAGGCCTACCCAAACGGCACATGGCGATGATAATGGCGGATGTCTCCTCTGAAGCGTTGAGATCACCGACATATCCCAGATATCCGTTGCCGATTGAGGTGAATGCAACTGGAGTACTGCGCGGGGCCCCGTTACTTCGGTACACGCAGTGCGAGTCGGCGAGCCCGGGGCCGGAGAGGTGCAACGCGTCAACGAGATATGTAGAGGCAAGTCCTGTCTTGTCCAGTCCGGTTATCCTTTGCGACGACAGATGGGAGGTACATGTGCGGCGTTGGCCTGACAACCACCGGATGCCCCAGACGTTGTGGAACATGGTGTTCTGGTCGCCGAGGCGCACATGACGAGGGAATCCGCAGCCATATACGACAGTGCCGCCACCGTTCTTGCTGTACCGTACCAGCGCATCGAGAGTCCTCTTTCGGCTTGGGGACGCCACTGCCGCATCGGCTACGACTACGGCGGCGACCTGTTGGGGTTTGGCCAGTCGATGGATCATTTCGTCGTCGGTGAGCACTTCAACAATGGACGCCCTTTGGTTCAACGCATGCAGTAAGTGAGCGTATACGTCTTCGAATCCGTGCTCCTTCTCAAGGCACAAAAGGATGACGGTCGGCTTCGAGGAAGTTGCCATGTTTCACCGGTGCCTGGAATGATACATACGATAGGTCATGCTGTTCCTTTCAGTATAAAGTGGCACACCTCCAGAGGAAGTTTTCAGCTGCTACTGCAAGGCGGGACACGGCAGAGTCAGGATAGCCAGAACGCGCTAAAAACGCGGACAAAGCGGGCGCGTCAGCTCGCGATCACGTGGCCTTTCGCACGCAGGTTGGAATCTGAGTCTCAGCCTCTGGTCACCCTTCTCTTGATGGAGTTCGACCTCACGATCACAGTAGTCTCTAATCATTTCGATATTCCACACGTAAGACCCTAAGAAGGTAGCGCATTAAGATGGGTAGCCCATCACTCGCCCAGTGAAGCACCATATCCCCAATACGAAGGCCATCCGCATGTGCCGGGCAACGGCGCCCACCCTCCACTCTCAACCCGTGCCGTGAACGCCTTCGCGCGCTCCCATATGCTCTCCCGTCCGGATCCCTCGCTTTCCCAGTCATCCTGCAGCGGGTCGCAGCGCAGGACGAGGAACAGCCTCTTATCGGCCTCGCGGCGCGGGCGCATCGAGCCCAGCAGCTTCGTCCATTCCGAGTGCGCGAGGCGGGCGGCGACCTCGAGCACGATCATCTCCGCCCTCGCGTTCTTCTCGAGCTCGGCCGCGAAGTTCCAGAGGAAGGCGGCGTCGCCCAGGCGGGAGTAGCCGAAGGAGATGTGGGTGAGCCCGTGGTACCAGCACGGGAGGCGGGCCATGCGCGCGTGCTCGGGCCCGACCGGCCAGGCGGCGCCCTCGCGAACGCGCAGGTGCGTGACGGCATCGCAGATCGGCGCGAGGTCCTTGTCGACGTCCGGGATCCAGGGCATGGCGGCGACCGTGACGTGCAGGTCGGAGGCGCGCTGTAGGGAGACGGTTTCGTTTTGTGCGGTCTCGGTCGGCGTGGGCGAGGGGAGGGAGAAGAGCGCTTCGCGAACGCGGTCGAGTTCCAGGTGACAAGGTCGGTTTTGGGTGTCGCGGGCGACGTCTTCGGGGTGCTGCGCCGTCCAGCCGACGTGTTTGAGGCGGGGGAGGAGTTGGACCAGGCGCGCGAGAAGCGCGGGATTGCGCAGTAGGGCGTTTCCCGAGGCGATCCAACGTGACTTTGATGCGGGGCAGCTTCCGTGGAGCCACAGCCGGCGAACATGCTTAGCGCGCGGGATCGGCGCCCCGTCCTGTGCCATCTGCGCGATCCATCGTTCGAAGAGGCGGGCGTCCCCCTCGCGATTTGTTTCTATCGTGGCGTATAGGTACCGTTCCGCGATCTGTTGCACCCACGACGCGACGAGGCATAGGCTGTAGGCGGATTGACCATCTGATGCTGCGGCGCATTCGAGAACGGCGATCAGGAGCTCGGACGGGAGATGAGGGAACATTGGGTTGGGGTAGAGGGTGGTGGTAGGAGGAAAAGAGCCCCCCGGGGGGTCAAGTCGTTCCACGCCGGTGAGGGATAAATCGGGCGAGGTCGGGCCTGTCAAAATTTTGGGCTGTGCCCGCCGGCGCTTATCTTAGCGCCCATCTCGGAATCGGGCTAGTTCGCCGATCGGATCAAAGACGGACCCAGGCCCCAACCCTCTTCTCTCAGTTATTGACACGCCAACCGTGTCCGCAGGATACACACTGGAATAAGATCGGTTTCGAGCTGATAAATACGCGATGGACCTCGATGCTTACTGTGTACAAGATAGTTGAGCCTTCGTCCACACTGCGAAGCTGCGGTCGTCATTAGTATGTGAACGACTTTGTGGCTTCGACAGGGACGACCAACTAACCTGCATTTCCTTGGAGTATGCTTCGTCATGACCGCAGGACGGACACCGTTCGGTGACCTGTGTATCAACACCATCGGTCTTCATCTTTTTCTACTGCAAAGTGCATCCCGTACCTTCAGCAACGCACTCTCTCCTGAATGCGCCTTGGTCTGAGTCTTGCGCTTCTGCCTCAGCGCCGAGGGCAACGCGTCCGGGTTCGACCGCGTGACAATCTCGATGTTGTCGTATGCTGGCGTCCCGCATGATTCAACATCCGAAACGCACGTTCCTTAACAGGAATGCCTGCTCACATGAAGAGGGCTCTTCACGGCCGCACTGGTCGCACTTGACGCTGGGCTCGTCCCCTCGAGGCAAGTCAAGAAGTGTGCCGCAATCGGGGCAGAACAGAAGGGAACCTGGTTCATTTGAAAACAGATTGATTTAGCAGAGAAAATATCGGAAAATTAAGCATATAAATGACCTATTTTGTGCGCCTGAGAGGTCATTGCGACTGAGTTTTGAGTCCAGCGGATCGCGTCGAAAGGGTAAGCGTTGCTTCTACAAATATTTCGGCGTTTTCCAGTAGCATCGCCACCATCTTCCCAGTCCCGTGATCGATCGCTTTGAGGTAAGCTCCCTGCCGAAGCTTTCGTCTTGACTCTTGCGCCGCCAGCCTCCCTCCGGATTTCTGACTCTTTGGCTTGGATCCCACGCTTAAACCACCTTCTTGCCTCCTGCGAAGCCTCGCGATAAAAAGATCCGTCATCCAACATGGCGCCGAAGAACAAGGCAAAGAAGGGCAAGAAGCAGGACGACGACGAGTTCTGGTACGGATCACACCTCAGCAAGCTCTCTGGTGCTCGTGACTTATGATAATATCATCGTGCGTTAACTCAGGGAGAAGAAGGCGGGGACATCCGCCGGTGTATCCCTGAACGGCTCCGCGATACCATCGGACGACGAGGGATCCGCGCCGTTCGCGAAAGCGAAGGGCGGCATCGCCGGGTTCGCCGCGCTCGGTATGAGCGAAGAGGACGCCGCGGCGGCAGCCGAGGAGGAGGAGCAAGACTTCGGAGGGCTCATGGTGCGTTCCGATCCCGTCTCGTTCACCCCCCGCATTCGGATCTCGGACGGCGCTGAATGATGGATCCCCCTCTCACCACCATTGCAGAGCGTGATCAAGGCCACCTCCGCAAAACCGAAAAAGGAGAAGAAGAAGGCGAAGAAGCAGACGCTCGACGACGAGGACCCGGCGAACGGGGACGAGGGCGCGGATCAGAAAACGAAGGCGCCGGTCGAGATGACCGCGGAGGAGCTCGCGGACGAGGAATGGGGACTCCCGGACAAGAAGGGCAAGAAGAAGAAGGAGAAGAAGGGAAAGAAGGGCAAGGGACAGGCGGCAGACGACGATGTTGACGATATACTGAGTGCGTTCGTTCTCACCCCGGCATTCATAGCTTCTGCAGTGTTTGTTGATGTGATCGGAACGGGCAGACCAGGCGATAGCGGCCGCGTCTCCGGCTGCAGACGCGGATAAGGGACAGGCGCCGGTCGAGATGACGGCGGAGGAACTCGCTGACGAGGAGTGGGGAGCCACAGACAAGAAGGGCAAGAAGAAGGGCAAGGGGAAGAAGGAGGAGAAGGATGGTGCATACGATTTGACTAATTGCGGCGGGCCACATCATAATACCTCCTCAGAAGCGCCTGCAGCACCCGCGGAGAATGGCGAAGAGGAGGCCGACGGCGACGCGGCGGGCGACGACGCGGGTACGAAGGTGCTTTCTAAGAAGGAGAAGGAAAAGCTGAAGAAGGAGCGCGAAAAGGTTACAGAATTGATTTTTTCCATGCCCATCTTCATACTGATTCGTCTCGTACAGGCCAAGAAGAAGGCCCAAGCGGCAGCGAAAAAGGCTGCCTCCGGCGACGCCGCTGAGGAAAAGGACACCGCACAGGCCGCTCCAGTAGAGGCCTCAGCGGACGCCAAGGAAGGAGAGGACGAGAGCGAGGGCGAGGAAGAGGCTGGTGGCGGCGGAGGCGCCGCGTCGAAGAAGAAGAAAAAGAAGAAGGGTGCCAAGAAGGAGGAAAAGGAGGCACCGGCGAAGAAGAAGGCGCCGGGTGCGCTGGGTGCGCTGAAGGCGCTGATGGAGGAAAAGAAACGGATAGAGGAAGAGCAGAGGAGAGCGGAGGAGGAGGAGCGCAAACGGATCGAGGAGGAGGAGCGGAAGGCGGAGGAGGAGGCGAAGCGGAAAGAGGAGGAGAAGCAGAGGAGGAAGGAGAAGGAGAAAGTACGTATCTGATTTAGTTCCTGATTGCGGGAGGGGTTACTGATTCGTTATGTTAGGCCAAGAGGGAACAGGCAAAGAAGGAAGGCCGTCTCCTAACGAAGAAGCAGAAGGAGGAAGCGCGTGCTGCCGAGATCCGCAAGCAGGCACTCCTCGCGTCCGGCGTTCAGATTGAGGGTTTACAGCAGCAGGGCAGCGGACCGCCCGCCAAGAAGGTTGTGTACGGCAACCGTAAGAAGCAGCAGAAGGGTCCACAGGCGAAGGGCGCGTCGCCGACGCCGTCGAGTATACCTGCTACGCCTGTGTCTCAGGCGGTAAGTCTACCCGAACCTGAAGAAGAAAAGGTGGAGAAGAAGGAAGAGAAGAAGGAGGCGGAGGATGACCTGAAGAGCGACTGGGACGCGAGTAGTGGGGATGAGAAGAAGGCGGATAAGGCGGAAGAAGATGTGAAGAGCGATTGGGATGCGAGTAGCGACGATGAGGAGAAGGTGGCTTCGAAGGCGGCTGCGAAGACTCCTCCCGCTGCTAAGAGTGCGTATGGAAAGGGCTTCCCTGCGCCGTTCACTACTTACTCCTGTTTTTATCGTCAGCAAATGGCACTGCTGCACCGAAGAAGTTGGAGACCAAGGCAGAAACCCAGCCGACTCCTGCCGCTGCACCGAAACCCGCGACTTTAGCCAAAGCGCCTGCACCGTCTCAAGCCAAAGCCGCTCCCGCCAAAAAGCCCGAGCCTGAATCCGAGTCCGATTCTGAGGATGAATCTTCTGAAGAGGACTCCGACGACTCGTCGGAGGACGATAGCTCGGACGAAGAGACGTCGAGCGACGAGGAGGAACAGATGACGCAGGCTGAGCGCATGGCGGCGAAGCGCAAGGCCGAGGCGGCGGAACGGAGGGCGAAGGCACACGAGGCCGCGCTGGCGTCGAGGAACAAAGATGAGCTGCGGAGTCCGATATGCTGTATTCTGGGACACGTCGATACCGGAAAGACTAAGCTGCTGGATAAGGTGCGTTGACGCATCCTCAGAGGCAAGAATCATAAGAGTGGCATGGCTGATGCAGGTTGTGATAGATTCGGCAAACGAATGTACAGGAAGGTGAAGCTGGCGGTATCACGCAGCAGATTGGCGCCACGTACTTCCCCGTGGACGCGATCAAGCAGAAGACGACGGTGCTGAACAAAGACGGCAGCTTTGACTACAAGATTCCCGGTTTGCTCGTCATCGACACACCCGGCCACGAGTCGTTCACGAACTTGCGGAGCCGTGGTAGCTCTTTGTGTAACATCGCCATTCTCGTTGTTGATATTATGGTGCGCTAGTAGCCATCCTCTGATTCTTTGGCTGTTCTTACGAGGTGACTCAGCATGGTCTCGAACCACAAACGCTGGAGTCGCTGAGACTCCTGAGGGATCGCAAAACGCCCTTCATTGTCGCCCTTAACAAGGTACGGAATTACAAATGAGGTAAAGAGCATAAGCTTACGGTTGTGCAGATTGATCGTATGTACGGCTGGGAGGCGATCCCGAACAACGCGTTCCAGGACTCGCTCGCCAAGCAGAAGAAATCGGTGCAACGCGAGTTCGAGGACCGCGTCGCCAAGACAATCACCGCCTTCGCAGAGCAGGGACTCAACGCCGTGCTCTATTACGACAACAAGAACTTCGGTCGCAACGTCTCTCTCGTCCCGACGTCTGCCATCACGGGAGAGGGTGTGCCCGACATGATCATGTTGCTCGTCAACCTGACGCAGCAGCGCATGAGCGAGCGGCTGATGTACATCTCCTCGCTGGAGTGCACAGTGTTGGAGGTGAAGGTCATTGAGGGTCTTGGTACGACCATCGATGTGGTGCTCGTGAACGGGTACTTGCGAGAAGGCGACAAGATTGTGGTTTGCGGTCTCAATGGGCCTATTGTTACGCAAATCCGTGCTCTGCTCACCCCACAGCCCCTGCGGGAACTTCGTATCAAGGCAAGTCAGCATTTGATCTTTCCCCCAAGTGCATCGGGCTGGTGTCTGATATCGCGTTCGTAGTCGGCGTACGTGCACCACAAGGAGGTCAAGGCGGCGCTTGGTGTCAAGATATCGGCGCCCGACCTCGAAAAGGCCATCGCCGGCTCGCGTCTCCTCGTCTGCGGACCGGACGACGACGAGGATGACCTCAAGGACGAGGTCATGGGCGACCTCACCAACCTACTGAGCTCCATCGACAAGTCCGGCCGTGGCGTGTGCGTCCAGGCCAGCACACTCGGCTCACTCGAGGCGCTGCTCGACTTCCTGAAGGTCAGCAAGATCCCGGTGTCGGGCATCAACATCGGTCCCGTCCACAAGAAGGACGTGATGCGAGCGGCGACGATGTTGGAGAAGGCGAAGGAACTCGCATGTATGCTTTGCTTCGACGTTCCTGTGGACAGGGACGCGGAGAGGCTTGCCGAGGAGTTGGGCATCAAGATCTTCAAAGGTGCGTGTCATCGCTAATACAGACTGCAAGGCAGACATTGATGGCGTGACTCCTGTTCATAGCTGACATCATCTACCATCTGTTCGATGCGTTCACGGCGTATAATGCCGAGATCATGGAAGCGAAGCGGAGGGACGCTGCACCGCAGGCGATCTGGCCGTGCCGACTGAAGACGATCGCGGCGTTCTGTAAGCGGGACCCTATCATTCTCGGTGTCGACATCCTCGACGGCACTCTGCGCGTTGGCACGCCACTGTGCGTCGTCAAGGTGGATCCGACCACGCAGAAGCGAGAGATCATCGACCTGGGCAAGATGTGAGTTCAATATCCACCCCCCTTTCCCCTAATCTCTCAATTGATCGAACTACGTAAACAAGCACGTCGCTCGAGATCAATCACAAAGCTCACGATGTAAGTCGCGGAGGGGTCGGCCAACCTGGGAGAACGCGAGCTCACATCCGTTTCGCAGATGGTGAAGAAGTCTCAAGCCGGCGGTGGTGTAGCCGTCAAGATCGAGCACGCCGTCTACCAGTCGGCGAAGATGTTCGGGCGGCATTTCGACGAGAAGGACGAGATCGTTAGCCACATCACGCGTGCCAGCATAGATGTACTCAAGGTACGGGCACACGTTGATTGCATTGCGTCGGGTTATTGATGATGACCCGCATGCAGGCAACGTTCAAGGCGGACGTTACGACCGAAGAGTGGCTGCTCATCAAAGCGCTCAAGCCGCGTCTTGGCATCCAGTAACGGCTTTGTTGTATTCTTGCTTTCGTTGTTCCACCACATCGCCTACACATGTTCATATGTACAGCACGCAATGCATTGTTTCTCTGCCGGATCCTCGACACCCTTGGCTCATTTCTGTTACCCTGCTGACCGATCTTGAAGAAAGATGTTGTTGCATTGAAGATGCCAATAAGCTTTATGATCACTGCTCTTCAATTAGCCCGTGAAAGTCCGTTTGATGCTCCATCGCTCGTGAGCATGCCGTGAAGATTTGCTACGCCCTAAAACCCTTTAGACACAATATCTGCGCAGAGTATATTCAGGAGATATCATTTTCAACAGGTCGATGGATTTTCACCTCCTCTCGCCGAAATCGCCAAGGCCGGGGATGATATACGCCTTGTCGTTCAAGCCCTTGTCGATCCAACCGGTAATCTATTGGCAGTATCTTGAATTCGGGTGTTCATGCCTGATTCATGGATATTAATGACTCACCACACGCAGGGAAGGGAAGGTGCTGCAGAAGTTCTTCAGGCCTTCCGGAGCAGAGATCTGGAGTGATAATCCGAATGTCGTCAGCTTTCAGCGTAGTCTTCATCGTCGCAGAGAAATAGCAAAGACGAACCAGGTTGACGAAGATGATGCGCTCCTCGGGGACGCCGTGCTCCTTCAAAACCTCGACGGCTTTGATCGCGGAGCCTCCGGTCGCCAGCATGGGGTCGAGCAAGATCACGTAACGTCTGTCGATGTCCGGCGGGAACTGGGTCATATTCGGCGGTTAGTGAACGATCTTTCCGCGGCATGGCTATCCTGCTGTAACTGCTCTAACCTTGGCATAGAAGAGTTTGGGCAGCGCGGTCTCTTCGTCCCTTTGAATCAAGATCTTGCCGATCCTTACGCTTCGGCAAACTTCGCGCAGGCCCTGCTCCATGGCCTACTTGGGATATTCAGTCACATCCCTTGGAACAAAAAAGCCACGCGGCAATGCACGATACCTCTCCTGCCCTCAGAATCGACACTCCGCAAATCTTGCCCTCGAAGCCGACGCCATCATATGTGGCGCCCTGTGCAGAAAACGGAGTCACGCGAGGTGAGGTTCACAACGAGCACCCAAAAATCATACTTTATCCTTACAGTCGGGGTCTCGACGGTCTTGGGCACCACAGGTAGGTGATTGAGCCCCTCCTCGACGAGCAAGCGTATGATGCGATCCGAGTAAAATAGAAAGTCGGCGCGGCTCGTGTTCTTATCGCGGATGATGGTGTAGAGCGCCTCGAGCTGCGCCGTCTGCGGCAAAGTGAAGACCGAGGGCGGCACGGCGGAGGGCGCTGATTGCGTGGTCGGTGCTACGATGGCCGCCATGCTCGTCCAAGATTATCGTGCTCGAGGACAACCCGGAACCGACGTCGGCGCCCAAATTTGGCGAGATTACGGCGTGGCTGTGCTCATCGTCTCTCTGCCTGCTTCCCGCTTTCTCGTTCGCCGACCCTATCTGAGCCAACACTGCAATCTTTAACCGGGAGTCTGTGTCATGCTATGAGCACAGCGTCCAAATATACAGAAAATATGCTACGTCAACATTAATGGATTAGTAAGTGGGTACGAGCTGCTGAGACAATGAGTCTATGTGAAGAGGTGTAAGATGACCGTGCAAGTACAGAGGGATCGTGAACTCAGGGTTCCATCACATCCCGAGATGTATGTACGGTGCCCATCTGCTCGGGGAGGTTTCCACCTCCCGGAGTTTTCGTACTGCAGAGTCGAGCGCGTATGGTATGATGTCAGGGTCCAGGTGCTCGGACCCTCCGTGGAATAGTTCCTTGTAGATGTGGCTTGCTATCATCGGTCCGTCGACATCTTCCATGGACCTGAAGATCGGCGTCGTGAGCTTCCTGTATCAAGAACGGGCTGCGGCACGTACCACAGCGTCGCAATGATGCTCTTGAAGCCAGCGAACAGCATCGTTGCTGCCAGGTGGATGGTCTGGTCTGGCTGATTCTACAATATTCGCGCACGGCATGGTCAGCATCTGTTTGGACGTGGTGGTCACCAGTTTCGATGACTGACTTTGTCGCCCTTAGCCGTCTCGCATGCACTGAGAAAGGCCATGAGCGCGTTCGGAGACGGCGTACCCATCAATCTGGCGATATTGAGGATGCCGTCGCGCATGACGAAGCCGCTCTCGAGCGGATTCTCTGGGTCTTGCATGCCATGACACGCTAGGTGCAAAATGTTGGCCTCCGGTAACCGGTCGAGCAGCGTCTGCGCGTGCACACCACGTCCGTCCCCCACCCGGGCGTCCTCCGTATCCGGTATCGGCATCAGCGAATCGGCGGGTAATATCTCTGCCACGTTCTGGATTTCGTCCACGATCGACGGTAGGTCGGCCCACATAGGGACGTGTGACCGCGGCACGGCCGCAAGGAGGACCTTGCATTGTCGTTTGGTGAGGGGCGTATACGACGCTCTTGCGGTCGCGAGGGCGCCTAGGGTCGGGATATAGGAAGAAACGACGTAATCCGAACACGTTTCGTCCCCGCCGCTCGCAGCGTGGATCGGCAGACGAGCGAACTCTCCGGTCGGACACCACCATAGGCGAGGGCGATCTCGACCTTGCGAGGGCTGTCGGGCATTGGATGAGCTCCGGTCGGGACTACGTATAGGCGATTCCCAGACATCTTTCTGCTCACCTTGAGTCCCAGTGAGTCGAGTACCGGCTTCACAACGCCCACCCAAAGCTGCTCCAGAATGACGTGCGTCGCACTCCGTTCTTGGCCCGTGATCCTCGTTTTGTGCAATTTCAGTCGACTGTCGCGCGTGACGGATCGCTTCTCGCTGATGAGGACCGACTTCCAGCCCTTGCTGGACTGCACAAGCCCTTCGACAGACACCAGGGGAAGAGGAACATTGACTATATCCCCTGGACGCCTAAGCACGACCGCGCGGCGCGTAACCTTAGACGCGATGAGGACCACGACGGGCCCGTGTCGCGCGATTCCGGATAGAGCCGTCAGGTCATCCGGGAGCATGAACCGCTCGAGGCCGGGCAGGGACCGGACTTGGCCCACCAGATTATGGAACTCGTCCGTCTGCTTCCACCTCCTTGCTCGCGCGAGCTCCAGCTGCTGCTTCTCGATCGCGAGCCCGGTACCCTCGTCGTGCCGGTCGAGCTGGCGCGACAGCTCCAGCAGGCGCCGTCGATACTCGTCCGGGACGAGGTCGAACTGCGAGCGCAGCCGGAGCGAATGCGTCCAGAAGATGGCGCGGGACTGCTCGAGTATCTCGAGCGCGTCTTGCGGCCTGGACAGCTCGAGCGCATGGCTTGCGGCGGTGACGGCTACGCTCTGGCCGACCGCGAGCGTCTTGAGGCGGGAGGGGAGGTCGACTTCGAAGAAGGCCAGGCGCGGGAGCAAGTGGACGATTGTGCGGTAGACGTCCAGCAGGCGGGAGTAGGTCGCGACGTCGTCCGTGATGTCCCCGTGGTCGCATTCGATGGCCGAGAGCAAGCGGACGCCTTCTCGCAGCCGGGCGCGAACGTCCAGGTGGTCGTCCGTGAGGCCTTCTGAGAGGAACTGCAGTGCCTGCGCGATGTCGCGACCAGGTCCGTGCTCGAGGTGAAGCTCGGCGAGGTCGATCAGCCGCCTGGAGCGCTCGCGATGGCCAGTGGTGAGCAGCTCCAGTTGTTTCTCCACGAGTTCACGCGCCTTCTCAAAGTCCGACGCAGAGCGCGTGTGTTTGAACTTGGCGAAGTACGCTTTGCCGAGGATCTCGAACCAACGTTGCCGCTCTACTTCGGGCGTCAAGTCGGGGTCCAAATCCTCCAGCGCTTTGATGGCATGTATGATGTCGTCAAGGTCCCTCCTGTGCTCGCCTCGGAGCCACAGTCCTTCGGCGAGATGGATGATCATAGGTGGATAACCTGAATAGCTCTTGGACACCATTCCGATGGCGCGCCTTGAGAGGGCGATCGAATCTTCGAGGTCATTGTACGCGCCGGAGATGCGGAAACGTCGGCGGAGACAGGTGGCCAGGTACTCCACCGTATTGGAGTAGTGAGGGTGCCCTGGCCTCGTGATGTCGCTCGCTTCCCGGAAACTCTGAATTGCTTCCTCGAGGTCGGCGCCGCGACCGGTGTCGTCGAAACGCATGATCAAGCACTCGGCGAGATTGCAGAGAACGATGGCGATCCTGGGATGACCCGATGGTATGCGCCTCATCGCCTCCCGCTGTAGCTGGATGCACTCGTCGAGGTCGCCCAGGCTCCCGAAGTGCTCGTACTGGCTTCCAAGCACGTTGGCGAGGTTGCCGACGAATATCCACATGTGTGGGTTCTCGGGCGGGCAGCATGCGATCACGTCCCGCCGGATCTGCGTCGCCTCCTGGAGGTCCTCCGGCCTGCCCTCGAGGATGAACCGGGACCGCACGGCGTTCCCGAGAGTGGACATCGAGTTGATCCGGTAGGGGTCGCCCGGAGGGCGTAGGGACAGGGAGTTGCGGAGGTGCGTGATCGCCTCTTGTACGTCGCTCACGACGCTCTTGTCTTCTCCTTGGATGGTGAGCGCGATCCCGACGTTCAGAAGCACGATCGGCCGATCGACGTGTTTTGGAGGACACAACTCCAGCGCGGTGCGATAGAGCTTGATCGCCTCCTCGAGTTTGTCCATCTGACCGTCCACCTCGTATTCGGTGAAGAGGGCCAACGCAAGCAGGAAGCGGGCCTTGAAATCCTCCGGATACGCCAGGCCAGGCGTGTGCAACGCCTCCCTGTGAAGCACGATCGCCTGCGCCGCGCCGCCGGCCATGCCCTGCAATCGAAACCGGTAGCAGGCGAGCCTTCCCATGGCGTTCAGGCACCCGGGCCGCAGTTTGCACCCGGGCGGTGAACCGTCCAGCGCGCTCTGGCAGAGCTGAGACGCTTCGTCCAAGTCTTCCGCGCTCGACAGCCTGCCGAATCGCTCGCGCAGCGCGTCGGCGAGCGTCGTCGTCGTGGCGGGGCAAGAAACGCCTTCGGAATCACATGCCTCGACCGCGCTGCGCCCGTGCGCGACCGCGTCCTGGAGATCCTGCTGTACTCCGTGAAACAGGAAGCGCTGTCTGAGCGCTCGACTGAGCCGGGACAGAACACAGTGGCGCCCGCTGGCGTGGGCGAGTCCATTACGGTCCTGTAACAACTTGAAAGCCAGAGTCCTCCGGGTTACGGCCCGTTGTTCGCTGACATGGAGTTGAACGGCGCCACCGTCGTCAAGGAGCCTGCGATAGATCTTGATACAGTCCTCCAACGCGTCCGCATCCCCTTCCTTCTCATGGACGTCGTGGAGACCGATTGCTGTCCGCCACGATCCGTCTTCTCCGAGGAGCGGTTCCACTGGCGGAAAACACGTCAGCCCTCATTGAACGCGCGTTCGAATAGCATCTTTGAACATGATAGACGTACGGAGTGCGCAATGACAAACGCGTGGCTGGACAATACGAGAGGGACCGGGTGTGGAGAGTGCGGAATGATGGTCTTCAGATTCGTGGACGTCGCAATGGCCTGATACAGTCTGGCCCGGGTGCTCTGCGAGGTTGTCCAGGATCGGCGGGGCGCTCATGGGACTGGTCTCTCCGAGTAGACTGAGTTCCACGGCAAGGATAGGGTGAGATGGGGCCCCGCTGGCATGTTCGCTTAAGTAGGGCTGAAGGAGGCGGGTGATTTGAATGAACCGCGAGGCGCGGCGGAAGGTTCGGTTACCTAGATTTGGCGGCTATGTGCGCTTTGATGCGTACATAAGAAGCCCGCATGAATCACCGACTAGTCGACATATCGCTGACGGGTCGGGATATGCGCGTGAGATGACGATTGGCCAGATGATCACGATCACTACTCTTTTGATGCGTTCGCCGTCCGGTATCACTTACGACGGACCAGTGACGGCAAGTTCAGAACAATGGGTACAACAACTAGCGAGGGTCCATGACGAAAGTTACTGAAACATGAAAAAGGTACGAAGGAACCAATGTGGAGAAGCAAGTTCGGGGAAGAGAACCAGTTCCGATCGGCGGAGGCCAACGGATGCACCCGCGAGCTTTCCAAAAGAAACGCGTCTTCCGTCCCTGCCCAGCGCGTTAACGGTCATACTGTAACTTGCAAGCCTCGTGTGTGTGACCCTGACGATCCGTTATGCACGGAGTACGTATACGTAGATACGATCCTCAGCGTAAGCACCTCGGACAGAAACGTCCATATTTCCGCAATGCACATTTCCATTTTCCTCAGGCTGTGTATGTAGCTTACCATCCCTTTCATCGCCGTCCCCGCTCTCCCCGAGTTGCGTGACCCAGCGGCTCTCCATCGCGTTACCACTCGTCGTCGTCGTCGTCCTGCGCTTCGATCGCCGGCCACAAGCTCTCGGGCACGCTCCACGCCTCCGCGTCCTCCCCCCTCTCGCGCGCGGCACGCGGCGTACGGCTCTTCACCGCCTCCCAGAACACCGCCTCGGCGTTCGTGGCCGCCGCGTCCGCCAGGTGGACGAGGTCGGGCGGGAGAGGGGGCGTGACGAGCGAGCTTGGACTCTCTTGGGCGAGGTGGGGAGAAGGCGGAGGGACGGGGTGCTGGTGTTGGTAGTAGAACACGGAGAAGAGCGGATCGGGGGGAGACGAGGAAGGGCAGAGGGAGAGGACGGCGTCGAGGTAGGGCCGGAGGGCGGATTCGGCGGAGGTGGAGGGCGGGGGCGGGGCGTGAAGCGGGAGGGCGATGTAGACGATCCCTGTGGGAAAGATCGTTTGTGAGTGAATGTACGTAGTGTATGTGAGAGAGGGGAAAGGGGGGAGAGGCGTACATTTGCCCTTCGGCGCGGATAGGCTGCCTTCGCCGGTGACGAGTACGTGTGCGGCGCTGGTGGACGAGCCGTGGCTGTCTTGGAGGGAGGAGGGAGGGAAGACGAGGAGGGAAGTGTCGATGGGCGGGTCGCTCGGCTGTGATTCAGCTTCGGTGGAGCCAGGAGGAGCTTGCTCTGCGTTGTTCTCTGTATGCGAGGAGTTCGGACTGCTGGAGGCTGGTAGTACGGATGACGGTGCGGGTGTGGGCTGTAAAGATACAGGCTGGTCGATGATGGCGATGCATCTCGCGAGGATATTGTGCTTGGAGGAAGATACGAGATCATCCCCGTCTTCGCTCTCGCCGGCTTCGAGCGGCGGTACGGGGACGTGTTTCGCGCCTGCTTTCAGCTCCGGTAGGAGGTAGTCCGGAGCGGATATGACGAGATCACAAGTGATCGTCTCTTCGAATCCAGCCAGCCTGACGGTGTAGCGGCCCTGCTTCGTTATGGTCTCCTTTCCTGCCTCCGCATCCTGACCCTGGGGGGTAGACCCAGGAGGGGTCGGTGTGGTGGTGGGCTCCACGCGGGTGACGGCGCGCCCGAGGATGTACGCGGCGCCACCCACCGCGGCCGTGCGACAGAACCCTTGCGCGAGCTCACCGGCGCCGCCGTAGTGCGGCAGGAGGAAGGGCGAGGGGCCGTAGCGTCCCGCAGAGCGGAGCACCTGGCGAATCCGGCGTAGGGCGGGGAGAGTCGTGTCTTGACAGCATATGCGTAAGAGATTCGATCGCGTGGAAAGGACGAACGTTGCGTGTACTCACCATCGGCGCTGGTGCAATATGCGAGCGCGTAGGTGACGGCTTGCGCGAGCTCCTCCCGGAGCCCGAATCCGTCCTTCCGCTGGAGATACTGCAAGAGCGGCTCGGACTCTTTGCCCGCCAGCTCGGGTTTTCCCTCAAAGTCGGATGCGGCGAAGAGGAGGAAGCGCATCAGCCGGCGTTTGTCGAGCAGCGAGAGGTCGCGGCTCTTGAAGACGTCCTCCTTGCCGTTCGGTACCAGGCGCACGCTCCCTCCGGTTGTCATAGTTGATGAGGTCGATGAGGTTGACGGTGATGATGGAGAGTAGATCCCGACGCGCTCGACGAGGCGGTAGCCGCCGTAGCGTGCGACGCCTGACGCGATCAGGGAAGAGATGAGCGGCCCGGTGGAGGGCAGCACCGAGGGCGCGAGCGAGAGTGCGTATTGGCGCGCGAAGGGAGGGGGCGCACCGGCCCAGCTGACGGACGAGAAGCGCGCGCGCTGCGCGGTCGCGTACGCGGTCGTCTGTTCATCGTCCGATGATGGGGCAGAGCGCTGCTTCGCCCACTCGAGCAGCTCTTCAGGCGTAAGCGTCGCCTCGTCGGCGCCGTAGTAAGGATTGTCGTCGATGTGAGCGACGCGGTAGGCGGCCTTGGAGAGCGCGCTGCGCTGTCCTCGCTTAGTCACTTGTCGGCGTTTACGTCGAGGTGGTCGACGTACGCAGCGACGATGGACTCGGTGAGCCCGGTACCAATAACGACGACGTCGAAGTAGGTGTCGTTTGGGTCCGCGTTCATTGCGCGCCAGTGATCGTGGACAGTGAATGAGTGAGGGGCAAGGTAAAGCGGCCCGACGCCCGCCGCCCCTGGCGTCGAGTAGCGGCGCGATGCTCGGGGGTCCCGACGGGGCGCTGACTATGGGGACCCCCGACCCTGTCTAAATTTTGGATCCGGCAAACTCTCTCAGCTTCACCCCCTCACTTCATACCCTCTCCTCCCCTCCTCCTTTACCTCCCCTCCGCCCACTTGTCAGTCGTTCTTTTACACAATGGCCAAGTCGGACAAGAAGGCACCCAAGGCGGACAAAAAGGTGGCTAAGCCCGCCGCGGAGGCCAAGCCCGCGAAGACGGCAGCTGCGCTTGCCCCTGTGCGTTTTTTTTAATGTCTCAATATCGCTTTCATTATTTGCTAAACATGAAGGGACAACAACAGAAAAAGAAGGAGAGCAAGAAGGCGAAGGCTGCGCCCCCGCCCCCGCCGAAGGAGCCGACCCCGAGCTCGTCGAGCGAGGAGTCCTCCGAGAGCGAATCTGAGGACGAAAAGCCCGCGCCCAAGGCGCAGGCAAATGGCAAGGCCAAGGTGCGTCTCAATCTCAGCACCCCACGTTCTATCATTAGACTCTCAATTTGTTGTCAGGCTGCTGCGCCCGCCGCGTCCAGCGACGACTCGAGCGACTCTTCCTCGTCTGAGGACGAGAAGCCCAAAGCCGCGCAGGTGAAGGCTGCACCCGCCGCTAAAAAGGACGAGTCCTCGTCCGACTCTGACTCCGACTCGGACTCTGAGGACGAGAAGCCGGCGCCGAAGGCCAAGGCCGCCGCACCCACAAAAGCCGCCCCCGCGATGGCTGCATCGGCCAAGGCCTCCCCGGCGAAGAAGGCGGCGCCGGCGAAGAAGGAGTCGAGCAGCAGCAGCGATTCGAGCGAGGATTCCTCGTCTGAGGACGAGAAGCCGGCTGCGAAGGCCGCTCCAGCGAAGGCGGCCAAGGCTGCTCCCGCCAAGGCAACTCCCGCCAAGGCCGCCCCTGCGAAGGCTGCCCCCGCTAAGAAGGCCGAGTCGTCGTCTTCGGAAGAGTCGTCGGACTCGGAGTCCGAGGATGAGAAGAAGCCCGCTGCCAATGGCAAGGCTGCTGGCGCGAAGGCCAAGGCCGCGTCGAGCGACGACTCGGACGACAGCGACTCGGATTCGTCCGACGACACGACCACTGCCAAAAAGGCTGCCGCTGGGCCGCCCGCCACCGCCTCTGCCGAGAGCAGCGACGAGGACAGCGACAGCGACGAGGATGTGGAGATGGCCGAGCCCAGCGCTCCCCCCGCCAAGGGAGGCAAGCGCAAGGCAGAGGACGATGCCCCGAGCGCAAGCAAAAAGACCAAACTCGCCGACGGCAGCGCCGCGCCGGCGGAGCAGGAGGAAGAGTCGAAGACGATCTTCGTCGGCCGGCTTTCGTGGAACGTGGACGACGACCAGCTCGCGTCCGAGTTCGCCGAATGCGGCGAGGTCGTCTCCGCCCGGGTCAACATCGACCGCAACACGGGCAAGTCGCGCGGCTTTGGCCACGTCGAGTTCGCGGACGCGTCGTCGGTGCAGAAGGCGATCGACACGATGAACGGGAAGGAGATCGACGGCCGGCCGGTCAACGTCGACCGGGCCCCCGGTCTGAACAAGAATCAGCAGCGCGAGAATCGGGCGAAGGCGTTCGGGGACAGCACCTCCGCTCCGTCGTCGGTCCTGTTCGTCGGCAACCTCAGTTGGGATGCGACGGAGGACGCCGTGTGGGAGGCGTTCGGGGAGCACGGCGAGGTCAAGTCCGTCAGGCTCCCGACCGACCGCGAAAGTGGACGGCCGAAGGGATTCGGATACGTCGAGTTTGTGGACGTCGACGCCGCCAAAGCCGCGTTCGAGGCGCTTTCGGGCACCGAGATCGGCGGGCGCTCGATCAGGCTCGATTACAGCCAGCCGAGAGATAACAGCGGTGGTGGTGGCGGTGGGTTCGGCGGTGGACGCGGTGGTGGATTTGGCGGGCGCGGTGGAGGACGTGGCGGATTTGGCGATCGCGGTAGGGGACGTGGTGGGTTCGGCGGCGGAGACCGTGGCGGCTTCGGTGGACGCGGTCGCGGCGGTGGAGACCGTGGTCGCGGCGGCAGGGTGAGCCTTTTCTTCCGTCTGTTGCTGGATAACATTAAGCTGACGAACGTCTGCAGGGTCGTGGTGCTCCTCGCGGACGTGGTGGTGCGCGGAACGGCGCTGTTACCTCATTCGAGGGCAAGAAGACCACTTTCGACTAATCGATCTGATTCATTGCCGAGAGGATGTTCATGCTAGCTTTGTTCATGGTGCCCTATATTGCAGATATATCATGGTCTCCGTCCGTCTCCGCCCCATCCATGCACGCATATAATATGTTGTCGTCTCCTATGATCACATGACCGTCGTCCCTCTGATGCTCTTTTCGCCTCTTCTGCGGTAATCTCGTTATCTCTGGTCCGGCCCTTCCGCTCTGTGTGCGATCTACATCTTGCGCATATACAAAGAACGAGGACTCAAGATGCAGAGCGTCATGTATCCCCAATTCCCTGCGCGGCGTTCGACCGTGCACGTCGCGCTGTTTGTGGACGTGCGCAACGCGGCGGAGGTGCGCGCGCGGATCGTGAAGGCGGCGGGCATGGTCGGTGCGGAGGGCGACGAGGAGCGGGAGGCGGTCAACTTTGCGTTCGTCGACGCGCGGCTGGTGCGGGCTCGCCTGATCCAAAGGTCGGCAGGATGATCGCGCTCACGGACGCCGGTGTATATATGCCTAGATCACCAGCGTGCTTCACCTCCGAACGGCGATCTACCAAGCCGTCCTCGCCGAACTGCAGGGCGCGCTGCGAACGAAGACGGTGCATTCGGAGATCCTGTGGATACTGAACCCGAGCAACAACGTGGGCCGCGTCTTCCCTTATTATCGATCGTTTTCATTGCGAGTGTTCGTGCTCAGACGGTTGGGACGCGTTTAGATTACGGAGGCGATCCGCCGGTACGGCGTTGGAGACGACAGCCGCGCGCTCCTGGTCGTGCGGGTGGCGGCGGCGGAGCTCAGTGCGCCGGACGTGGAGGCGAAGATGCGAGCCGTCGTCCAGGGCGATCTCGTGTCCCTGGATAGGCTGCAAGAGATCACAGACTGGGCCGCGGTGAAGAAGGTAACGCATATATCCAGCTCCTCTCCTCTTACCCGCGCCCCCCCCCCACCTCCTTTTGATCGTTCATTTTGTACTTGTTTGTGGGGAGAGGGAGATGGGGATCGTACGCTGACTCTTGGAGGATCGCAGTACCATAAGATGGGCGCGGACCCGGCGGTCAAGAAGGCGGCTGACTCTGCGGCCGAGCGCGCCGTCGTGGACAACATCGCGACGACGTCGGTAGCGATGAAAAGCGTGGCGACGTAGGCATCCCACCGACACCAGCATCGCATGGCTCGAGACCCCCTCGATCGTCTGCGATCGTCGAGTCGCCATGAGCTACGATTCACGAATGAGTGACCGCACCCACTGTCGATGCCCTGTCGATCGTCCGCACGGTGCTCTGTCTGCACACGTTGCACCGCTTGGGGAAGGTACGAAAAGCACCGGGGACCAAAATGCCTTCCTGTATAGTAGCATGCGCATGTCGTTCACCCACCCTGCCGGCGGCGGCTCTCGAGGTGTTCATGCGGGATCGATTGGCATCTCAAGCAAGCATAATATATCAGTGTATCGTGGCGATCGAATCGTTAAACAGATCATATCATGGGGGTATTATTGGGGCTACAGTAGATATCGAGGCATCGTGCCCTAACTTCGGACCATTCGCATATAATTAGCGGTCGGAGCATGGTCGATAAACAAATAACGGAATCTTCGGGAGCACTATGTGTGTGTGTGTTGTTGTGTGTGTGGGAGGGGGGGGCGGGGTATCATCGTCCTTCAATTCCTTCGTTCTCTCGTCCGTTCGTTGTAATAATCGCTCTCGTCCTCGCTCAACTGTTCGCCTTCCGTATCGCCTGCCTGACCGGGTTCTGCTCGGGCGCGATCGCCCCGTTGCGCTCGAGCCGGTCGAAGAGCACCATCAGCTTCTCCGCCTCGCGCTCCTTCTCCTCCTCCGTCATCTCGTCCAGCGCGCTGTGCTCCTGCGCCGGCTGCACGACGCCGGTGATGGCGTTGATCGGCCGGCCGTCCGGCGTCGTCTGCGGGCCCGCGGCGCTGGCGGAGGAGGAGGCGGACGGGGAGGGGTTGGCCATGATACCGCGGTTGTAGAGGAAACCGGCGACGTTGCCGTAGCCGACTTGGGACGCGAGCGCGCCGGCTGGGGATCCAAGAAAGGGTATTTATCAGATGGACGTTCGACAGATTGTGAGGAGGGAGAGAAAAGAAAGGGGGTGGGGGGGAGGAGGGAGGGGTGGCATGACCAGATATCGGAGAGAGGGGCAGGAAAATCGAAAATGAGAGGGAAAAAAAAA